AAATCTGAACCATTAGATTTTAATGAGTTTCATTGGCTGAGATCGACTTAGTCATGTGACTAAGGGACTCCCCTTAGTCACCTGATCTTGGCCCCGCGTGTCACTCATGTGGAGAGAAGTGAAGAGCGTGAGATTAGGCAAGAGAAAGTTTACTACTGAAAATTGCCTCGACTAGTCCTGGTTGAAAATTGTTCCGACCCCCTACCATTCGCCGACCTTGTGCGTCCCGTTTCTTAAGGGTCAAAATATATAATTGATTCGCTTCGCCCCTATTCCCTTTTTGTCCATGTTTGATCCTTTAGGGTTTGTCCATGTTTGATCCTTTAGGGTGGGACCAGACGGGTCTGTGGGTCGGTCCTAATCAACGTACTGATGATTTGTAAAAATTTACATTTTGGTATCCAAATTTATTTTTTCTTACAATTTAGTACCTAAAAATTATTTTTTACACATAGGTCCATAAAATTTAATGGTAAAATTACAATTTAGTACCTATACTTTTGAAACTTAACAAAAAGGTTCAATGTGTTGGTATGAGAAATTTTAAAACTAGTGGTTGCTAAGGGGTCAAAAAGTGACATGGGCCTAAGTTGACACGACCCTTATAGGGTCAAAAGATGGCACATCCCTAAACTACCCCTGTAGACAAATTGACTTAGTCCAACCCTCAGGGGGCGGGTCAGTGGGTCTTAAGGTCAAAATTACACCCCTAGTAGAAACCCTGCAGGAACCTCCAATGGAAAGTGTTTTAAGTGATTGCATAGTGAATATAAATAAATCTAGAGAGAAAAAATTAATTTCTTATGTGACTTGCAAACTTGCATCTTTGCAAGTGTATACTACTTTGGTGTAATCCGCTTTACAATTGCATATTGAGTGTCATGTATGATTGATGTGAATGTTTTAAGGATCAATAGCGAAAGAGAGGAGAGGAAGACAAAAAAAAATCAACAATGCATATGTCTACCTTAGATTCAACTTCAGAGGTGCCATCGGCAAGGGAGCAGGGGGCGTGACCGGAGGGAGCAGGGCAGCCGAGCAGCCAGAAGAAGAGACCGCCAGCAGCCAAGCACCAACATTGGGAGGCTTCGCTGACGTTGGGATCGTTAGCCTGACAGAGCTCCGACATGGTAGATGGAAAGCTTCGTTGTCAGAAGGTCGAGGAAGCTGGGTGAGAGCGACGAATGAAGGGAGTTGACTTGATTCATTCTTTCTTTTTTAGGGTTGATGCAGCAGACAAATCTCAAGTCGACAAGATGGGGGGGGGGGGGGGAATTCTTATTTTTCTAAAAAAATGGCGATATATATATAAAAATAAAAAATGCTGGAATGATGAGTTGAGTTGTGCGAACAGTTAACGTTTCGATCGTTTGCCGACTGGACAGTCTGATTGTTTTGTAGCGACCTTTTCTCTAATACGAGTTGGACTGACGGTCGAATACTAATTTTATCCGTCTGACTAGACAATTCGGCTCGATGTTAACAACATTGGTAAAAAAAACTAAAACTCAATTCAAAGTAAAGTAAAGAGAAAATCCAGCGGAAAGCGGTAACTAAAACCGTTACGTGAACTCAACCCTAGCTTATAATTGGGTTGTTGAGTTGTTTGTGCTCCGGCAGCCAAGCCTATCAATATTACTAGCTTCAACCCCTACCCTTTGGGCAGGTAGCTTTTTCGTTTATTATGTATATGTATAATCTCTTTATTAAAGTAACAAATTTTCTAAAATCACATAGATAATCTATAAAAAAGTCAAATAGATTCATCAAAAGTTTTAATATCTCTTATTAAATTAGAACACAAAACTCACCTCCTTGAGATACCTAAAAAAGAGAGAAAACATGCATCTCGTTTTTCAGTAAATAGTAGAATGTGCATTCATCTTAATGATGATTCAAAGAAAAATATGGTGGGCATATCATGTTATCTTGCAACTTATACTTTAGTCAATTTATGGAATTGCATACGATGTTTAATCCTACCGTCTAGAGTTAAGAGTTATTTAACAACAGACATCTAGCAATTGAAAATCCAACTGATGCGGTAGATTAGAAATCTCGAAGAAAGTTAGATTGAGTCTTTAAATAAAAATGATGTTATAAAAAAATTGTCAAGTGTTGAGAATGAGCGAGATTATGTGCATGAGAGAAAATTTTGAGGGGATGGAAAGGTTCTTTGACTTTTGTGGATATGCTAAGTTTTGTAGAAAGTTCACTCGGTACTCGGTAACACAAATATTTATTAGAATAATTTAGAAAACATATTATTATTATTTGAATGAGTAAATAATTATAATTATGATTAACTAATTATCATAAAAAATATTAATAAATTATCCTACAATCTCTCTCTCATCTCTCACGGAACCAAAAGAAAGGGGGAAAAAAACAAAGAAAAGCACTGTGGAAGCAGAATTCTTAAAAGGAAAGAAGCCTTGTCCAAATAATTGGCAGTTAGCAAACGGAGAAGAGAAACAAAATTAAAAGAAAAGAACAAAAAGATCAAAAGAAACCGTTCGGAAGAGGGAAACATTAAAAGAAAATGAAAATTCAGTAATTACCGAGAAGAGCGGAGAAGCCAGCGAGGCTGACGTGGAGAGGGTTGATTTTCTAAACTGCTTTAATATATTTTAAGAGATATCGTTGTCCAATTGTCCACCGTGATGGATTACTCCCGGTTGCCGGATGACATAGTGGAGAAAATAGTTACGGAGCACTTGGAGAACTTTTACCAACTCACCGCCTTCTCCGGCGTCTGCAAATAATGGAGAACCACCATTTTCCGGCTGCGGCCGCCGTCCCTGCCGGGATTGATCGTATCCAAAACCACCGCATCGCAATCCCCACCGGAGGCCTACTACAACAGCGGCCAAACCCACGAGTTTTATCCCCTCACCACGCTCTGCCCTACCACCCCTCCGCCGCCGCCGATCCCACGTGCCACGCTCTCTTTCTTACCGTCTCCATCCAAGATATCAGACGCCATGGGCCAGCGCCACCTCTACCTCCGCCGGCACCACGATCTACTCACCTCCTTCCACGACGACGAATTAGCCGCCTACGTCAATCCCTCCTACTCCGACGACGACGATCAATCCTCCGACGACGACGATGAATACGACCATTTACTTCTACCCTTACAACTACTACGGCTCCGACGATGAGCACTTGGGGAAAAGTGCTGCCCACTGCTTGGGTTCCAAAGACGGCTGGATCCTCCGCACGCTCCCCGCCAGGGGAAGGTCCCCTGAAGAACCCAATAATCACCGCCGGCCGCTCGAACTCTACCTTCTCAACCCAATCACCGGCGCCTCCATCCCTCTCCCTCCGCTCCAAGCTTCATCCCCCGACCATGTCTGCTGCATCTTCAAAGCCATCATCTCTTCTTCTCCCGACGAAGAAGAGTGCCACGTCTTCATTCTATCCACCGCAAATCCCCAACTGGCCTGGTGCAATGTGTCCTCCCGGCCCGGGGACAAGGCGGCTGGGGTTTCACCAGCAGGGACACCTACATTTTCTGCCGTCCCCATGACGCCGTCTACTTTGGAGGCAAACTCTACGTCGAGGACTGCCACACCATCTACGTCATTGATCACAACCAACTAAAACAGGGCTTTTCACCTGCCGTAAGAGCAATCCCATTCTCCAGAGCGATGAGTGAATTTCCTGACGACTACGACTCCTGCTGCGAGTTCTAGACTGCACTGTCATCACTTGAGCCATCTCGGAGAGCTCCATGTCATCGTCCGCAGCTGCAACATGTTCCCTCTGAAGTTCCAGGAGTACAAGCTGGTCACAGTCCCGCAAGCACAAGGCACCAGCTCGTGTGACAGCAGGAATGCTAATTGGTGCTGGAGGGAAGTGAGGAGTTTGGATGGGCGCGCTGTGTTTATCGGACCCCATCAATCGTTCTTCCTCCCTGCTACTGCAACTGGTAGTAGAGCTAGTGGGGTTAGAGGCAACTGCATCTACTTCGCTTAGCTCGCGTTGGTTTAGCTGCTCGGGTCGGAATGGTGTCTTCGATCTTACAGACCAAGAGTTCAGACACTTTACCCTTCATCGTAGTGATTACAGAAAGGCTAGCCGCGCCTGTTTCTGGTTCCTCCCTGTGCCCCGGTAAAGTTATCACTAGTCTTCCCCTCCTTTCTGTTATGAGCAGTAATACTGTTAGTATTTGGTTCAACATTCTTGCTTTAAGACGTCAATTGAAACAATCAAGCTAGACAAGAACATAGGTATCTCTACAATAAGATCACAACCAAGTTGCTCCTACTTCTACAACACTAAAACTGATGATGAATTAGTGGGCACTGATTCTTATATCTGTATGTGTACTAATGATCTAACGTTCATTCATGCAGGGATATTTCTAAGCTACACAAGAAACATCATAAGAAGAAGGCCTGGGAACGGGAACACCTGCTTCACACTACAAATGAAACAGAGCACTGGACACTACCAAAGAAGACAATCAAGAATCATCTGCAGCAGCATGTGAACAGTAGTACTGTCACCAGCAACAACAGATTCCAAGCATTATTATCTGATGATGATAGTGAACAAGAGGAAAATTGAAATGGTGGTTCACTCAATTAAAGGCCTGAAATGGCCAAATCACGTAGTAGCATTATCAAGTTCCGAAATTTTCTCGTATAAGAATGAATAAGAACCGATTGTCTTTTTCTACACTTCTTTAATGCTCACCAACAATATCATGCACCTCTACAGGTTGAAAACCCTGAAAAGAAAGTAAAGGGAAAGCTCTACTTCTACAATCAGTGAGAATTAAACTCACTCACTAAGCATATTTAGATCAGTTGTGGACACTCTGCTAAATATTACCTGGCCTCACAACTTGTTCGATCTATATGGATGGCGATAATTTCTGTAACCTGTACCCAGCACCAAAAAACTTGCCTCTGAAAGAGGCAAACCATTTCAGACGAGAACAGGCGGCATCATGTGCTCCACATGGGTATATACTACCTCAGGGGACTTTTTCATTTGCCACCAGTATTCTTGTTCTTCTTAACAGGGAAAATGGTTACTTTTCTGCCCGACTTGCTAGTTCGGGCTTCAGCTCGTCGGATGACTTGTATGGCAATCTGATGCTGATTCTTGCTTGCTGTCTCCTCGGTGAAGGGTTTCACTTCAAATGCTCCCCTTGTGAAACCTCTAGCAACCTGAATCCAAATTACAGTGGATCAGAATATATAATCAGTCTTTTTAAGTGTTCTGTCAGTTAAGATTGATAACAATTAAATTAATAGAGCTGCTTCAACTATGCAGTCAAACAAAAGTCCTTGAACTAAGAATTTTAACAAATAAGTCTCTGTAATATACCATTTCGCTTTTAGTCCATTAGTAGAAAATTTCGTCCAAACCCATTACTGTGGATCGATTCATGCCTTCAGATGCCACAAGCAGGAAATCAGTCTTTCGCCCCTCTAACCAGCCATCATTAATAATATTGGCCCCTCAAGTACCAAATGATGGATGTATGGTGACGACGAGATGAAATTTAAGATTTAAGAGCGAGATTGAGGGGGGAAATATGGAACTTTACACATAAGCGGCATGTGATTTAAACCAAGACATGCTTAGTAAGTATGGTTTGATCCTAACCGAAATAATTTGGAAAAAGTTTAACAACAGTCCAAAGTACAAAGAAGCTCCGCATACCTTCAGAACGAGCCAGACTTTGAGAGAGCTACTCAAGATTGCAAGTCTTTTCGATTTCCCTGAAGTTAAGTAGTCAGACATATGCTGGTCGACCCTCAATATAAATCTTGGCCATGTCTTTGGGTTTTCCGGGTCTGATTTTACTTCCATCATTACCTTGAGGAAAAATGGGAAGCAAGAACCAGATCACTAAAGGTAATAGAGAAGTAAACTGAAAATTCACAGATATCCAACAAATAAACCATTCAAAAATAGAAAATTCACTTACAACCAACCGACAAATTTCTTGTTCCATCTTGGAAAAGGATGTCTCTAAAGATTCAACTCTTCCAGTGGCATAACAGCAAGAGCACGGTTCACTGATCATAAAAGTCACACTGGGTCGAACCTGTCACAAACATTTGTAGAATGTCAGTGGCTAATACTGGTGCTATTATTCTCCTATTCTAGCCTCCATAGTTAAGCCTTGTTTTCCACATTTTCTCGTTCATCTCAATTAAATTGGAGATCAGAAGGCTCAAATGGACTTTGTTGACTCAATAATCTCCTTGAAGAAGGTAAGGGAGCACAAGATGATGGTAGAATATGGATTATAAACTTATAAGCAATAATACCCTCTTCCTGGTTATTTCCATGAGTCCATGCTTCGACAATTCAGAGACCTTCACTGTTGACCTGTCTCTCTCCACAGCTTCTTTCATTTCTTCATAAACTAGCCACTTGTTTGCTGAAAAATACAGTGAAGGGAATAATCTATTTACAACGAAACAAGTATACCCTGCATCTCAGGGTTCTCATTCACAATACAGATAGCATACAATAACTAATGAAGGATCAATGTCTAATTTTTCGGAATTCGAATGAAGCATTTTGTTGCCAACAGGGCCGTTTAGAAACAAAAATTTGAGTTGCAAATCCTGAGATTAGGAACAGATGGACCTTGTTGACTATTCCACTCGATGATATGCAAAGGCAGCAAACATTAAGTTGAGAGAGTGAGAGATAAAAAAAAAAAATAATTAACTTACACTCATCTTCCATGTCTATAAAGTCTCCCACAATGATACCACCAATATCTCTAAGCCGCAACTCCCTTGCAATCTGGAAACAAAGAGTTTTGTTATACTGATTATCTGTCAAAGGGTCATAGAACAAGAGCAAGTAAAAATGATCGTTGATGAATGCATTAGATAACATGCAGGCAAGTCCATTTCAGCAAAAAAACTGAATCACTACCTATCATTCCTCAAATTCATAGTTTCTTTTTAACTTTGGTGTATTGACAAACTTGTTTTGCAGCTGCAAGATTGACATCTAAAACAGCCTTCTCTTGTGAAGTCCCTTGACCAAACATCACATGTCCGCCATTAACATCAATAGAGACTAAAGCTTCTGTTTGTTCAAATACCTGGGAGCCACCAATTGCTAGTGGAACTCTGCAATGCAAAAACAAGTACTATTAATTAAATGGTCAAGAAAATGAAAAGAACAAGTGACCTATTCCATATAATGAAGACTGCCAACAAAATTACACAAGAGAGACAAGAAACCATTACCTTTTGCTAAGGATGTGATTGATCTCTTCTTCAATACAGAATTCATCAAAGAGAGGAGTCCTCTTACCATGTAGCTCAACTCGGTTACAAAGATCAGGAGCTCTGATACCAAACTGATGTGTCTAAACTGCTCTAATTGACAATAAAATAACTAGGTTGCTGGAAATTGAAAGGAATTGGAAAATTTAGGGTTTTTGGTAGGTTGGATGGAGGAAGAACCCCCACACCAGTCGGTGATAAGGTTCGGGGCAAGGCGCCACAACCAGGGGTTGATAAGCCTAAGAAATCACAAGCAAATATTTCTTGCAACTCTTGAAAATTCTTATTGAATTCTGAATACTGAATTGAATAAAACTAAACTACAAGCCTTCTATTTATAGAGAGACTAACCCAACAGAAAGACTTCCTTCTACACCTAGGAAACTGAAAAGCAATAACTCTACTACTAGGAAACAAATAACACCCATACTTAAGAAATTAAATAAAGCTAACATAATAAAAGACTCTTAAACCAACATGGACAACAATTAAGCATCTCCTCCAAATCCTTGTTGGACAAGGATAGTTGTAAGAAATCCTCAATTTTCCATTAACCCGTAGGTCTTGTTTGTAGACCCATTTTCACTCATCTTGAATGCTCCTAAACTCTCTTTAAACCTCCTAATTTGTCTATTGACCCATGGTCCATGTAGAGATATAATTTGGAATCGAATTAGGTCATGTAGGGTTCGTATAATCCCATCATTCTCTCCCTCTTGGAAAAGATTTGCCCTCAAATCTTCTTGTGACATAGGAATGTGTTCCCATGACTCTATCATTTCCCAACATGAGTGTACTCCTTGAATATTAAGTTTAACCACAAACTCTTGAAGTCTTCGTCTTTCACTACTACGAATTTCCTTGTACGACACTTCATCTCCAATAACAAATTCCATGTGTTCACTAATCACATCATGATCACCCATTTGAGTTGAGTTGAAATCGTAGCATAATCGCCTATCTTTAATGACCAAATCTACTCCAATAGTTGAGGACTTGTCTTGGACTCCTCCTGGCAAGAATATAGCGCAACCCAACAAGTCATTCTTTTCCTCTTCATTAGAGCAGCTGAAATGCACTTCTCTTTTCCCAACTTCTTTTTCGTCAACTCGGAGCACATTTTCCTTTATCTCTATATCTTCATTGTAATACACAGGCTTGGGTAGAATCCCATCTTCGGTGGTCAACTCAACATGATTTGTAGAATCTTGAATAAGTGGCAACTCTTCTGGAACATCCATTAAACTTACCTTGTCAAAAGCCATTATCATGTTGGTGATAGGCAATGGCTTCCCTTCTATCTCAAGTTCTGATTCTTCTTTTAAAGGCATTAAAGCTTGAGCATCCTCTCCACAAGTAGCAAGTTCAACATCAAGAACCTTATCTTCGAATTCTGGTTGAGAAAAAGGCAAAGAAACTTCATTCGAAGGTATATGTTTGTCGACTTTGACACTCCTTTTGTCAGTCTCACCACGAATTGAGCTTGAAGAAGCATCAGTCTGATCAATATCAATGAATCTTTCCTTTTCAATCTCTTGCTCTTCATTCTGAAATTTGCAATATGGATCTTGCTTGTAATAGTTTGGCACAAATCTATCATTCATCAACGTCTTCATTGTTTTCCAATCCTCTATAGGGTGCCTTGTTTGCGCTTTAGTTTTCCGCCACCATAAGCTAGCATAACCAGACAGTTTAGCTGCAACAAAACTAACCTTGACGAATTCGTGATAGTCTTGACACTCAAAAGCAGAATCAACTTTGTCCACCCAATCCAAAAATTCTTCAGGATCACTCTTTCCGAAAAATGGAGGGATTTTAATTTTGATATCTCCATGAGTAGCTCTCCTTTGGTCTCGTTCTTCATCTTCGTTGTTAATTCGAGCACCTCGAATAGCCCTCCTAGGTTGACTCCTGCCTCTATCAAGTTGTTGGTTTTGTACCAATTGTTGAACAGCTGTAGTAAGCTGAAGCAGAGATTCATGAAGAGATTGCAAGGCTGGCTCCACCTTTATTTCTACACTCATCCTTCCTTCTCTTGAAGGAAATGTTACTCTAAAAAAATAGGGTTTTTTTGGGGGGGGGGGGTTTTTTGACGAAAATCAACTAAAAATCTAAAAAAAACCAGAGCTCTGATACCAAACTGATGTGCCTAAACTGCTCTAATTGACAATAAAATAACTAGGTTGCTGGAAATTGAAAGGAATTGGGAAATTTAGGGTTTTTGGTAGGTTGGACGGAGGAAGAACCGCCACACCAGTCGGTGATAAGGTTCGGGGCAAGGCGCCACAACCAGGGGTTGATAAGCCTAAGAAATCACAAGGAAATATTTCTTGCAACTCTTGAAAATTCTTATTGAAATCTGAATACTGAATTGAATAAAACTAAACTACAAGCCTTCTATTTATAGAGAGACTAACCCAACAGAAAGACTTCCTTCTACACCTAGGAAACTGAAAAGCAATAACTCTACTACTAGGAAACAAATAACACCCATACTTAAGAAATTAAATAAAGCTAACATAATAAAAGACTCTTAAACCAACATGGACAACAATTAAGCATCTCCTCCAAATCCTTGTTGGACAAGGATAGTTGTAAGAAATCCTCAATTTTCCATTAACCCGTAGGTCTTGTTTGTAGACCCATTTTCACCCATCTTGAATGCTCCTAAACTCTCTTTAAACCTCCTAATTTGTCTATTGACCCATGGTCCATGTAGAGATATAATTTGGAATCGAATTAGGTCATGTAGGGTTCGTATAATCCCATCAGTAACCATGGCTCCTCAATAGGTTGGTCTCTTTCATAGGTTGTATCCTTGACTTTCCAATTTGGCGAGTATTGCTTCTTTTATATCAATCATAATTCTATTCCGAGTCTCTTGTTCATCTGTCAAAGCGCTGGACGCATTTGAGTGTTCAGAAACGTACTTATCAAAAACTTTCAAACCTGTTGCTGCCATGAAGCAATATTACATGTGGGTTCGGAAGAAGGCAATGGTTGGACGGTTAAATATGCATCTTCTATCCAAGAATCCCATCCATGGGTTACAGGCCTTGCAGTATTAAATTTCCCCCATGAATCCCTCACCAGAACTCTGCTATCCTCATTGGCATTGAAGGGTAATGACAAAGAAACTGTAGGGCCCGTTCTCCATTTGATGGCAGATAAGTTTGACCATTCTTTCTTCATGAAATAATTATATTTGAAGTTCCCAGGGGCCATCTGCAATTGAAGAAAGGTGATTAAGTATGGATCCAAAGCAGCTATAAATTTAGGATGTTGTGAATAGACTAAAAGAAATTTGAACCAGCAAGTTCCCTCTTTTAGTCAAACTGCAACACAAGCTCTGATGTCAAAGTCATTTTGTTTTCTCATTTTCTGGGCCCGGTTATATATCCGAGTGTTCCTGAAAGATAATGAATCTCAAGCAGTTGCCCAACTAGCAATTGAGGCTTAGCTACTGACAGGGCGAGCTAACTTGCCTTCATTTTAGCCCTCCACACATTTGTGCGTTCTGTGGGGAACATTTGGATGGCCTTATCAGGCTGCCAACACCCCAACTGAGTAAGTTCCCCAGTAAGGTACAGTAGCTGACCATCTGGCAAATCAGCTTCAATAGTCCAAACTACATCACATAGTCTTTCGGAGGAAACATATGCATTCCCTGAAGGCATTGGAATCTGCCAGGCCTATCAGCCATTCTAGTTCATAGCAAAGCACCTCAAAAGTCAATGGACCTAAGGTAGAGAGAATGGAACAGTCAAGAAGTCACCTTTCTTTGCTGATATTACCGGCATTCTGAAAGGAGAGCGACTCATCGTGCTACGGAGTCTCAATTTCCACGCACTCTCAAGCGATATCCGCTGGCGCATGCATCTGGTTCAAGAGAGTTAGATAAGAAATCAGGACGCAATCATCCAACTAGTCAATTCTCATCTCTCTGGAGCATTTTCGCAAACAGGATGCGGGTCTTACTTCGACCACGTTTCCTGGAACCCAAAAAACAAGAAAGAGCGCGCGGTGTGAGGAATACATGATGGGGATGCCGAGACCAAGCCTCGGATACTTCCATGAACGTGTTCGCCGGTCGGAGCTGAAGCTCAGAGGTGCGAGCAGCCATTGGCGAGCAAGTTTGGCCAAAGGGAGGAAATTTTGACTACCTGTTTCCTCGGAAAATCAAATGCCACCGCCGGTGCCGAACTAGCTTTCCGGTGCTGTTGATTTGATATTTCGCGCTGGAAACTCTTGCGGTACCGTTTGATCGGAAGCACCGCTGATTGCTGAAATCGAGACGACCGTCAAATGTCCACCGCCGAATGTCGGCGCCGTTGATTTGATCGATGCACCTCTAAATGGTGAAATCAACGTGACCGTCAAATATCCACCGTCGGGCGGTGTTGATTTGATCGATGCACCTCTGACTTCTAACCAAGAACGACCGTTACTACGGTTCGCACCTCTCCAAACTACGTTCGAACGAGGGTGTTTGAGTTTTGGGGAATCTACGTTACGACTACTCCTATGGAGATTCCTGTGGAGAGCTCTGCGACTACGACTACTTCTACCAACTATGGAGATCCTTACTAGAAGGAGAGCTCCGCGAAGGAGTTACAGAGAAAAAATGTAAAGTTTTGACAGAGTTGTTTTGTGCTGATTTTTGGTTCCCTTTCTCTCTCCTTGCTCCGCTGATTTTATTTGAAATCACTTGCGTAGTCTTCACGCTAGGTGGAACCGCTTCCTCAACTGCTCCGTTGTGAACTCCCACGTGTCTCAACCGTCTTGATCTCCTCTTCACTCAGGTTGGTGTGAATCTCACGCGATGTCGTTTTCTTCCCCAAACAGCTCGGTTTGCTTATTTACTCCACGACATTGTTTTATATTAAACATTGTCGTTTTCTCTAGCACAACGGTACCGTTGGGCTTACTCGCGGTATCGTTTTTAACTAAACAATACCGCTTGGTTCTATCCGCGGCATTGCTTGTCACTAAACGGTGCTGTTTTTTTTTCCTTCTCCGACAAGGAATAAAAATAATAATTAATTAAAAAACTCCTTTTCCAACACCAATACTAAACGCGCGGGCCACATCTTATTTTCTGGTAAACAGTGTTGTTTCCAGTGCCGCGGTACCGCTGAGCTTCCTTGCGGTACCGTTTTTTGTTTCGCGGTATCGTTTTAACTCATCCGTGATGCCGCTTGTCGCTCGCGGTGCCGTTTTTAGCCAAACGACACCGTTTCCCAGTCTCGCGATGCCGCTTGTCGCGGTGCCGTTGAGCTTTGAGGTTCGCGGCACCGTTTTATCTCTTCGCAGCATTGCTTGACTACAAACGGTGTTGTTACTCTCCTCCTCCGACAAGGAAAAATAGAATAAAAAACATTCCTTGTCCAACAGCAACACATGTCCTGCGCATGACTCACACATGGTCTGCAACCAATGTCGTTTCAAGTACCGCGGTACCCCCGAGCCTCTTCGCGGTCTCGCTTAAATTCTCCGCGGTATTGCTCGACTCCAAACGACATCGTTTTGGCCATGCGGTATCGAATTAAATGCCGAGACACATTATTACGGCATTGAATTTAGGCCAAAAATATTTTAGGTGTAAACAATGCCCCACAACTTGGTTTATAAGAATTTATGAACCAAGTTGTTGACACAACTTAATTCACCTAAAATTTCCTAACAATTAATTCAACTTTGCCAAGAAAATCCACAAATCACGTTGGTCAAAGTGGATTAGGAAAACCATGATAATGGCCTTGTAAAAAAAATTCTCTTCGCAGCATTGCGAATCCACAACGTTGCAGCCTTGTTTCCTTCCCTCTCAGCACCGACCGAACCAATCATGTTATAGTGGCGCAGCGCTGCAACGCTTGCTCCGCCAAATTTTTTTTTAATAAATATTTTAATGGCATCAGGCCTGGCGGCCTCCTTCCCTCAACCGCCTTCTTTTTTTTTCTTCGTTATTGTCCACCAGCGCTGCATCTAAAAATAAAATAAAAAATTTCTTCAGGGCTGTTAGCGCCTAGCGGCAGCGCTGAGAGGTTTTTTTTTTACAATGTAGCAGACCTGGCGGCCCTTCCCTCAACCGTTGAAATTTTTTTTTTAATTCATGGCTGTTTGGCCGCCACCCCTCTGCCCTTTTTTTTCTTTTTTTTTTACAATGTAGCAGACCTGGCGGCCCTTCCCCCAACCGCCAATTTTTTTTTTATTCATGGCTGTTTGGGCGCCACCCCTCTGCCCTTTTTTTTTAAACAACTCTGATTTTTTTTCTTTTCCTCCAACAGCTCTGATTTTGGAGATAATCATCTATTATTTTTTATCAAGGCTATTGCCTAACAGTAATAGATGTCCACTATATCAAATCCGTTTCTCTCAAAACAACTCTGATTTTTCTTTCACCAATATTGTTTTGGCGACTTTTTTTTTTACAGCATTGTGTATAGGGGTGGGCAACGGGACGGGATACCCATCCCGTTTTAAATGGGTACCCAGTCCCATTTGGAGACCAAAGTCCATCCCATATCCCAAATCCATATGGGAAACGGGTACCCATTACCCGTACGGGACGGATAACGGGTACCCATACTACCCATAAATACCCAAAGTTTAAATGACATCACATTACATATCTTTATAATAACATGCTCTTGCGGGGAATAATAAGAACACGATATGATAAAAACATAAATTCAATCTCTATATACACAAGCATTCATTTCAAAACATGTCCCAAAACCAGATGACGTTTTAGCTAAAGACAATTACATCCCAAACCCACTACATAAACATGTATTAGCAGAGAAATGACGGCGGGAGAAAAAGTTTGGAGTAGGCAGCTATTCTAATACATTCCATAAAGAAAACATATAGCAAAATTTCGGAATGGTTGGTGCTGCCATTCTCCCACTGCAGGCTGTTGTCGCCATTCTGCCTTTTGAATGGGTATAACGGGTACCCATATTACCCAAACGGGTATTTGCGGGTAACCCACGGGTACCCATATTAGGAATGTACAATCCCA